GGTCAAAATTGAGTCAGATGAGAACAATGGTATGATTTGAGGTCTTCACGTCCATGCCACAGGCGCTTGCTGTCGAAACCATCCGTGACCTTCTACGTCAGGAAATAAGGTCTACCCACAGCCCATGATCGCATAGAATTGATGGAGCGTTGCCTCAAGATTTTCTTCACCTCCGAAGGGATCACATATGTACAAATTAGGGACATCGCAACGAGGCCCTAAAACCCTGGGATCATTGCCAAGGTTGTACTGCAAAAACGCGAGAGACGGTTGTTCGACGAGTACAAAACCTAATTTCTGGGCACGCTACATGGACGAAAATTTCTTCGTTATCGATCAGGGTGGCATCAAACACTACAAAGACCGACTGAATTCGATTTTGCCTAATCTACAGTTCATGCTGTAAGATGAAGTAGAGGACGGAGTTCCGCTCTTGGACACTCTCGTCTGCCGCCAACCGGACGACAAACTGGCGATGTAAGTCTACCGTAAACCGACAACCACGTCGTAAATGTTGAGTTACAACAGCAACCACGCACTGCAACACAAGCGAACTTGTATACGGACGCTATACCGAAGAGTAGAAACCGACTGTAGCATGCCAGCCACGAGAAGAGAGGAGATAAACTCCTCCAGGAACGTTTCAGAGCTAACGGCTATCTACAAGCGTTCATTAAACGGAACCAAATGCCACTAAAAACGCGGCCTGAGGGGTGCTGCCCGCCAAAGTAATGGCGAAATATTCCGCACAGTAAAGGGGTCTCCAAAACCGTGTTTAGATCCATCGCGCCTCGCGGAATAGGAGTTGCCTACAGGCCTACATCCACAATCCGGCAACAAAAGATGTGGCCGAAAGACCCTATATCTAAGCGGGAGAACTCAGTCGTTGTTTAACGAGTTCATTACAGTAGCGGAATGTGCAGTTATGTTGGAGAAACTGGCCAACAAATAAAAACGCGAATGCATGAGCATCAGTTGGCTGTAATAAGGCAGGACCCAAAATTGGAGGTAGCAACCCATGCTGCAGAGATGGGGCACATCCTCACCTTTGACACCATTGGCATTGTGAGCCGATATGACAATCACACCTCAAGGCAAATTAAGTAAAACCAAGGGTCAACCGACTGTTCAGTAAACCGCCAAATCAATTGGCCTACCCTCTAATTGGGTTTACAAACCTTCCTATCAGGGGACAGTCACAACGTGAAATAATAGGGGCCGCCAAAAAGCCCGGTCAAAAAGGCATGGTTGGATGCGAATCAAGGTTGTATAACAGACGGTCAACGAGAGCGGTTGAAACAAGCAATGGCGGCAGGGGGAGAGAGGGCAGACGCAGCACCATGGTCAGTCATCGGGGAAGCACGGTTGCGGTGACACAAGTGATGTTGAGTTACCAACCATGCGCGCAGCGACGGAGTCGGTATTGGCAGGCTACGCACACGAAAAAGAGCAGCATAGTACGACAACGGTGAGCCTGGATGTTCAGTCTTTGAAGATGGGTGGACGACACAACCATGCACACGAAACGTCAGACATTCAAT